TGAAACTTCCCCCCCCCCCACTCTTCCTTCCTCAGGGAAGAAGGGGTGGTTGGTTGATTGTAAAATTAGCAAAATAGAGTGGAGAAAGCATGAGACCTAGAACCAAATAGAAAAAAGAAAAGGTCCTAACCTGTGTTGCTTTCCCTTCCCACCTCCCAACCAGAATTGAAAGTCTCCATTCTAATCCTTACACAATATTAAATCTCATCCCCTCTATTCTCTGGGTCCATGCCCCATCACTGCATTCCTACTCCCTCAGATGCTGGGGTGAAACCACCCAGGCACTGGAATTGCTGGCCAAGAGTGGGGCACTTAGTAACACTTATCCAAACAAAGGGTAAACACACACAGGCTGCAATCATAAATTGGCAGCAATATCCTCCCAGGGGAAAGACACAGGAAAGCAGGAGCCAGAGTGGCAAATGAATTAATTATTGTATGTTCCACCCCAACTCTGACTAAAGGCAAATATCCCATCAAAAAGCACATTTCAAATGATTGCTTTATCTCTTCCTTTTGAAATAAAATACTTATTTAAATAATCTTTCCCTTTCTCCCAAGTATTTCAGTATATGAAATTTTCAGTTAAAAATTTCCCAATGCCAGAAGAGAATTGCAAAATCTGTCCTTCATGCCCACAGGCCAAGGATTAAACACTGCAAAAGGGTTTTACATAGCTTGAAGAAATAGGAAACATGCCAAAAGTCAACCACAAAAATAAAATTCTACTTGGGAAACACTGAATGAAATGTAGATGGATATTTTTGCTCTTGTGTTTTTAACTAATGACTTGACAAACAAAGATACTGTTTTAAGACATACTAAGAACTCACTTTTACTGAGAACTTCAAGAAAATAAGCATATCCATTGTGGTTTAATTAGGAAATATATCATCTATAATGCAACCATGAGTTTCACAAGATGAACCTTAGGAAAAATGACTGAAAAATAAGTCTGTCAGCTAACACCTGAAGGCAAACAAGGCATTCTTCCAAGTATGTAAAGACTGTAAAAAAGAAGGATAAGTGTTCAGAGTAGGATGGTTTCTTAACAGAAACATTCCATTTTAATAATTGATATACTATAAATCAAGTTGACAGACGAAAGTATAAAAGTACTAAGAATAAGGTTAGGCATCATAAAGTACTAATCCTCACTCATTCTCAGGGACGGGAGTGGAGAATCTAATTTCTGAGCTTAAATAATGATATATAATAATAGCTTCATTATTTACTGAGTTCTATTGTAAGAAAAGTTAATCCTCACGCAACCTTAAGAGGAAGGAATTACAGGTATACAGTCTCTTATCTGAAACCCTTAGGGCCAGAAGTTTCAGAATCCAGAATTGTTTAGATTTTAGAAAAATAGTAAAGTTCATATAGCACATATTATATACACCAGCAGGATCTACGGCAGCACCCCATGATCAAACACTAACATTTCTGCAGAATCCACAAGTATTCATACTAACCAGGAAATGACTCTGAAGCTTCATAGTTGGAGCTGGGTTTCACCACCACAAGAATGTGCCACAAACTTAAGAAATCAAAACAAAACAAACCAACTTTTGGTTTTCAGAGCTCTTTGAATTTCAGAATTTCAGATAATAGATAATGGACCTATATTATTATCTCCATTTTATAGATAAGAAAATTAAGGCACAGAGAAGACTTGCCTGAGGTCACACAGAAGAACTGCTTAGCAACCAGTATACTAGACTGTCCTGGTCCTGGAACAAAAAAGTTCCTCATCTCTCTATTCTCTTAGCTCAGCAGTGCAGATTTTTGTGCTTGAACATTTTTCTAATTTTCAACACTATGGCTCTTTCCTGAATCAACTTCAGCTGCATACAATCTTTTCTCACATTAAAAGGGAGCTCAAACGTGGCTTAGTTAACATCCACAATTTCTCTTAAGCAAGTATACTGCTTGCTCATTCAATTACAGGAAGAGGCACAAGTGACAGAGTTGAACAAACCCTGGGCTGGAAGGAAGCTGACCTGGACTGGTACCATCTGTCAGTCAGTACCTCTCCTGTGGCTCTGGGGAATTCAGGAATAAGGTCATGTTCTTCAACATGACTTATTAAGGACTTTATATGGCCCTTTATCTCTGGCTCTATCTATCGCTCACCAGCCTCCCCCGCCCCCAATGTTCTAACTATACAAACTTTATAATGCAAACTTTTGAAAGGCACAATTCATTTATCACCCACAATTCAAATGTGCTATTCCGTATCTGGTACAGTCCTGTTCATCTTCTGTTCTCCACACCATGCCAGGGCAATTTAGATACTGCTCTTCAGTTAGGACCGCATCTGTTACTATAAACCATCTTTTCCTATTTTAGTAATGAGGGTTTCATAATTGACTAAATCAAATATCTGACCAGGGCCAAGATATATTACACTTACTACTTCTGGTTAAACTACCAGGCCCACTATTCAGTAACTACAGTTGGTCTGAATTGGTCTGGCTAGATCAGTTCTTTACAAAGCCAAGTCTTTGCTCTCTATTTGCTTCATTGTTTGTAAATATGTTCTGTGATGACATTTAATATTTTTTCCAGTACTAAATTCATTCTCCCTGGCTTATAGCATATTAATAATTTTTTAGACGTGCCCAATTCCCTTATCTTTTATCAAATACCATCTTTTTTCAATTTTCTAGACTTCCGTAAGATTGCAAAAATGTATTTATGCCAAGATTTTTAAATACTCTGATGATTCAAGTCAGTAGAAACTACAAATCTGAACACATATGACCTCTTTTAATGTCTCTCTCTCTCTCTCTCTCTGGGATTTTTAAAAATCCACCTCTATATTGTGGCCCAACATTACTTGGAATTCTTTAATTCAAAGGCCTAATTTATTTTTCTTTGTGTGGGGGTTGTTTTGATCAGTTTTATTAAGGTATAATTTTTTGTAAAGTACACCAATTTTTACATGTACAAGTTGAAGACTTGTGACAAATGTCCACAGTTGTGTAACCACTACCACAATTAAGATATAGAATATTTCCACCTCCCTCCCCCCAGTTACCTTTTGCCCCTTTGCAGTTAATCCCCTCCCCAACCCCTGGCCCCAGGCAATCATGTCCATGTTTTCTCTCACTATAGTTTTTGCATTTTCAGAATTTATATAAGTGAAATAATACA